CCTAATGAAAATGATTAAAATAATAATTGTTATAATTATAAAATTAATATCAACAAAAGTTAACATTATATTAAACTATCATATTAAATATCATCATTTTAATTAACTATCATATATTTTTAAAAAGTAGAATTTAAGCTTTTCTAATACAACTTAATTTTTTTTTTTAAATCCTTTTTTAACCAAAGCATCAAGCAAAACAAAACTACCACTAAAATACATAAAACGCGACGGGGCAGCGTCATAAAACAGCTGAAACAAATGTGTTAAGTGTTTACATTCCAAAAATGTCTCTTTTATTCGAAAGTAAAAAGACTTCTTGTTTACAGCATTAAAATATTCAATAAATGACTAAAAACCTCTTATTTTATCTTTCCGTAAATAGTAAAAACGTTAAAATCGAAGTTTTCACATTAGTTTTCAGTCAAAGCAATTTACTACCATAATCTCTTCATAATCGTTTGAACAAATTACTAAACAAAAACGGCTTTTTGTTTTTTTTCTGCTTCATAGTATTAAAGTAAAACTTCAAACTCGTAGATAATAAAATCATTGAATATTTGTAAACAAAATAAAATATCGTGCTTTGTAATTTTTTTTTTTAATAAAATAATCAAAACGCGCATAAAAAAAAGGCATTTTTTAAAAGCGAAAAGGCCTAAACGCTATATTTTTCTTCGGATCTCTCCTTGATTACACTGAGTATCTACAATGTTAGACAGTTACAAACAGTTAAAAAAATGATAAAAAGTAATTAATAATAACATTAAAAATAATAATTCCATTGATAACGATAATTATAATGAAAATAACAATAACAACAAAGATTAAATATAAGAAAAAAATATTTAACATTAAAGTCAAGGCTGGCGCCAAGTGTGTGTGTGTGTGTTTGTGTGTGTGTGTGACTCCCTCATCGCGTTGATGTGACAACCCCCCCCCCCCCCATCAATGATTTTTTCGTTCATTTAGACGGAAAATTTGACAAGTTAGTCGGCAAATGTAGACCCTTTCGACAAGTTAGTCGGTAAACTTCAGTCTGTCGGTAAATGTCGTTAAGGCAGTCGGCAAATTTTAAGAAACAGCTTTTTTTTTTTTTAATAGTCGGCAAAAGTTGTAATGACACCCCCCCCCCCCCCCCACACACACACACATACACGTGACACCTACTCGCGCCGGCCCTTTTTTTAAGTTTATAATTGCTATATTCTTTTTTTAAAAGAATATAGCAATTATAAAGTAGTAAAAAATCACTTAGCAAAAAAATTTTTATTTAACACTGATGAGTCTTTTTTATTGATGAAACACAGTGTTAAATGAAAAAAATTTTTGCAATGTGATTTTCTACTACTTTATATATATATATATATATATATATATAATATATATATATATATATATATATATATATATATATATATATATATATATATATATATATATATATATATATATATATATATATATATATATATGTATATATATATATATGTATATATATATATATATATATATATATATATATATATATATATATATATATTATATATATATATATATATATATATATATATATATATATATATATATATATATATATATATATATATAAAATTACTTTAATAATACTAAAATTGCATTTAGTCATTGCAACTTTCTGCAAGCAAAAGGGAAAATGAAATAATAAACCGAAAAACACTTAAATTAATTCTTACCCATAAATCCAAAATATACTTAAAATAACTTTTAAATAGCTATTTGTATCCCTAATTATATGTAACTTTATAACATCGACTATATTTTTTAAAATTTTTTTTGTTCATCAATGCTTACTGCTTTAGTTTAAAAATTAATATATTAATGATTTTTTTTTATAATTTAATTTGATTTTCATTAGCATTTATTAACTCTAAATTTCCAACTTTGAAATAGTACTGATGAAAATACAAATATATTAGATATTAAAAAAGCCTCATAACGAGTGACGTAATGCAGAACGAAACTCCAAAATCGTGGTTGAGATTCTATGAAAAAACATGTTACAAATCTATTTTTATTTAAAACCAAGTACTATTTCCTCATCAAATAGCCAATAAGTTAAGTATGATAGCAAGTGGTGAAATGTTATATTCTCAGACAAATTGAATGTTGAGGTAGATATGCAAGAATATGATAATGAATATTATAAGAATAAGAATATGATACTGCCTCTGCCAATACATGATGACAATGACTTGATAAAATGCTTAGTTTCTCTATCTTATACTAAATATACCTTCAGTTTTTTAATTTAATTTAATTGTATTATAGCACCTAAAAGTTATGACCATGTAAAATTAACAACCCCCTCAATTTGATCAAACTTTAAATAATTTAAATACTAAAAAAATATTATAAGGTATTATATTAATTATTATAGTTATAATAGTTAGAAAAGGTAAAAACTTTCCATGGGCCTAACATACATACGTATTGAATTAACATAAATACGTATTGTGACTATAGACTAGCCTGATATTAATATATCCTTTACTGATATTAGAATCAAGATTAAAAGAAATTTTTTAGTTCTAAAAAATTTCTTTTAATCTTGAAAAAAAATTGAATACTAATATCAGTAAACATTCTAAGAAAGATCAACAGTTTATCTATCTGAAAAAGTTAAAATTTAAAAATTTCTACGCTCAAAATTTTTTTAAAAACGATTTGAAAACAATAAACAAAACACACTAAAGTAGCTATTGCTGTAATAACATTTTATTCATTTTTAGAGATTTTATATTTAATTTGAAACATTTTATCGTGTACTAGAAGTTACTTTTATTATAATTTCTTCTTAATAAACGGCTAAATGCATATTTAATAGCTAAAAATTAGAAAGTTAGCTCGTTGTCAATGAGAATTTTTTTTATGTTCGTTATCCGTAGCCATTTTTAAAACTCTTAAAATATTCAAACCTTACTGCGCTTGCGTATAATAACTTTCCACTTATTTAGTAAGTCTGAACACGACCGTGCGTCCTAATATTTATTTAGTGGCGGGATTGCTCAGTTGGTTAGAGCGTCAAGCGAAAAGTTAAAAATCGGACTGATTTCTGTTTATCTATAGTTATTACTAATCTGATATGCTTTTGATTGTATACTCTTAAACGTTTCTTTAGTTTTAAAGTTAAAGTAATAACTTGTATTTACTTTCTTTAGTTTTAAATGTTATACTGGTCTGTCTATAAATATTTACTTTACACATAATAATTGCTCACACTACATTATATTTAAAGCAAAACATTTTTGTATTTAAATTGAAATATTGTATAAAAATATTATCGTTTTCTATTTTTTTTTTTTTTATGAAGTTGTAACATTTATAAATAATTGTGGCAATTTTTAGAACTGTAAGCTAGAATATGCAAAAACATTCAAAATGCACCTTTTTACATATTTGTGGCAAAATTGATATTTGCGCATTAATGCGTGCATAATAAATAAAATATTTGTCAACTGTTTATTGTTTTTGCGATTCTGACTCATTTTTTTATATTTGTAAGTAATTTTAACTAAAAATATTTGAACTTTGGCGTCTAAAAATGGGAAAAGCTAAAGATAAATCAGACAAAAAAAATTTCAGAAATATCTGCTTTGTTAAAACATTCTAATCACTCACCCCAAAAATTGCAAGTTTAGTTTAAGTTTCTGTAACGACAGTAACCAGAATTAAAGGTAAACTTAATAAAAAATGTCTGTACAAAATGCCAGAAGAGGAAAATGTGTTAGACCACGTATCACTACCACAAGAGATGAAAAGGCAATTCGTAACATTTGTTTTAAAAACCAAAGAAAAAGTACTAAAGCGTTACTAAAATCGTACAAGAAGCCATTATAAAGATTTCAAACAGAACTACAAGGCTTCGAATAGCAGAACTGGGGTTTAAATACTACAGACCTGCAAGAAAACCTAAACTTACGCCAGCTATAAGATTAAAACGTCTCAGTAGTACAAAACAACACCTACATATGTCTGCTGAATGTTGGGAAAATGTAAATACTTATTTAGTTGTTTATTGCAACAGCATCTCTTATTAAATCATTTATATGAGTATTTATATTATCATTTTTATTTGTTTTCAAGTGTGTTTCTCAGATGAGTCCCAATTTGAAACATTAATGGATAAGTCTTCTTTTGTTAGGCGAAAGAAAGAAGAAAAATACCCAGACTGTGTTATGGAGAGGGTAAAACACCCTCTAAAAGTGATGGTGTGGTCAGTTATAAGTGTTAAGGGCAGTAACCTTATTTATATAGTTAAAGGGATAAAGAACCAGGAAAAATGTAAAAAAGTATTAGCTACTAAACTAGTTCCTCAGTTACATGATTGGTTTCCTGATCCATCTAAATGCATATTTATGCATGATTCTGCCCCATGCTATAAAGCTAAATCAGTGACATGATAAATTTCAGGGCTAAATATATAAATGCCAAGTTTTATGATTAGGAATTTAAAATGTAAAGAACTGCCTTCAAAGTATGCCAAAAAAGATACAAGCAGTAATTGATGCAATAGGTGGCCCTACCAAATACTAAAAAACATTTTCTATTATGATTTTTTTTAAATAAATGCCTAAAAATAGTAATAGTGTTTAAATAAGTGTTTTACTTTTAAAAGAAAAATATTTATTTAAGCTATTCGCACTAATATTTATATAAAAGTTTAACATAAGAATACGTAAAAGAGCTTATAATGGTTAATATAATAATAAATATATATTCAAACAAGAAATAAATATCACTCCACTCGTTGTTTTTAAAAGCAAGAAACATATTTCTTTTTTAAGAAATAACTTTCTTGACCATGGACATAGATTTACAGTTTGCTGGGAATCTGGGAATTACAGTTTACTAGGAAAAAAGAAATATATATTATATGCTTCTTAGTATATTTATATTATATAAATTTTGTATAAATAAAGATAATTCTTGTTTTAAAAAATGCTTGTATGTGTGTATAGCTAATTACCCACCTCCTGATTATAATCAACCTACATACATACACGAGGAGACTAGAAATGGAACAGCAGTTTGCTTTGGCAACGTAAGAGTTTTACTTTATATAATTAAAAGTTCAATTTGCAATAATTTTAAGATCAAGCAACATTTATTAACAGGTTTACACTAATGCAACAAACACTTCACAGAATTCTATAAACTTTATACCACCTGTATATACTGGTAATCCAATTAATTTTTCATTACCTCCGAGTTACCTAAAATCAGAACCTGCTGTTCAAATAACTACAGTAAACCTTCCAGCATCACAAAGTGTACAACGCCAAGCAGTTGAACCATTACCTTCATCGTACGCTGCTATAGCTTGGATTTCATGTTTATGCTGTTTTTGGCCTTTTGGTCTTATTGCCGTATACTACTCGAATAAGGTAAATACAACATTTTATAATAATACTCGTAAAAAAAAGAACCATTAACATCTATTTTTCTTAATTAAACTAGAAATTCAAAGCTCTAGTTTCATTTAAAACACAAATAATTGTTTCTTGAATAAATTTTTTTTCAAGGTAAATTCTGCTCTCAGCATAGGAGATCGAGATAAAGCAATTTCAGCTTCTAAAAAAGCAAAAGTATTTTCCATAATATCAATTGTAATTGGGGTAAACTTAATATGGATTATATATTTAATAAACAAGGAATTGACTCGATCCGTTACTTATACGACATATAGACAAGGAACTTATTATTACAATTAAAATAAAGTTAATGCAATGCTTCACTTTGTAACATGTCATCTCACTTTTTCACATAATGTTATTCATTTTTTTTAATTATCTAAAATATTAATACTATTTCTTTTGCATTTTAATTAGAAAGTTTTCCTCAATAACACAAATATGAATATTTATTTTATATAATCACAATAGTGTTTAAATAACTTCGTTTATAAATATTGTTTATTTTCGTTTATAATATATATATATATATATATATATATATATATATATATATATATATATATATATATATATATATATATATATATATATATATATATATATATATATATATATATATATATATATATATATATATATATATATATATATATATATATTTTGGTAACTTTTTTATATATATGCTAACTTTTTTAATCAAATTTTAATCAAAAGTGAGCAATTTCGTTTTACATTTAAACAATGATAGTTTGTTAAAGTTTTTAATTTTTTTCCATTTTTGAGGATTTAATACATATTTAAAAACTCTGAAGACTGTATTTAAGTTTTATTAGAAAATAGTCATTGGAACTGTTTAAAAGCTACTTTTACCAACGGAAAAAAATTTGAAGAATGTATATCTAGTAAAGAAGTTCTCATATGCTATATTAGCTTATGAGGTATGACTATGGATTAGATTAGAAAAATGATTACGGATTAGATTTAAAAAAAGTAAAAGTTTTTCCGTTAACTATAATCAAGAGAAAAGCGAGAGTGTTATGAAACCTCTACTGCAGATGATGTTTTTGATTCAATGTACCCCATATTTCTTTCCATGATAAAATATTATCTTGGTATTGTATATAAAATTGCATGCTATATATCATTTATCAAATTATGAAACCTAGCACATTTTTCCCGTTTGATTATTACATGATTTATGAGCAACTTTAGAATTATTAATGGCAAGTTAATTGATTGACTTGCTTTATGAAATAAAACGTAATTATTAGTGTCAGGTCAGACGCATTATCATTACAATCATTCTGGTCCAGTAACATGTAATCCAGTAAAACTATTTCTATTTCCTGCTGCCTTCTAAGATTTGCTTCCTAACCAAAGGCTGGAAAAAGTGTACATCTTGTTATCAACACTAATATTTAGTATGTCTATAGTATTTTCAAACCAATTTTTGTCTGTTTATAGTTAGAGGTTTCATAGTTCCTGTGTTAGCTCACTCGTAAATTATTTTTTTTTTTATACATGTATGTTTGTGTTCTGTCTGAAACTCTGGCGAAATGTTCATTCACCCGTAAGTTGCTGAATTATGTATGTATTCTATTATATCTACTGGCGCGGTGTTTGCTGACCAGTAAGTTACTAAATTTATGTTTGTATTCTGTACGAACCTTTTGCGTGGTGTTATCTCACCCTTATGTTACTATATGTTTGTTTATTTTCTGTTTGAGTCTCTAGTTTAGTGACAGTTACCAATTACACAGTTAGGAAACAAACTTTGGGCTAAAGTGTGTACAACCATCGTGAACATCGGCTGTCTTTCCCCATACAAGTCTAACGTTGATTTAATGTCATATATTTAACAATAATATAGATAAAAGATAATAATATCAACGCATTTAATTACTTGCGCAGATAGATTGGACCATCGTATTTAAAACCATCGGAAAACTTGATTGTTTTTACGATCTAAACCCAACGTTGATCCAATGTAAATAACCCAACGTTGATTCAATTTATATCGATTAAAGTTGATCCAATGTATATAAACCAACATTGATTCAATATATATGAGTCAAAGTTGATGCAAAGTATACAATCCATCGTTAAATTAAAAATTTTGATATATTAAAATTATTATTAAAAAAAAAATAATAACAAAATCTGATTCCGATAAACATTGAATGCAACGTTGACCAAATGTAAAATACAATGCTTTGCCAACTAAAAAATCTAACTTGGAATCAATCTAAAATATTGCACTTTGCCGACTTAAAATACAAAATTGTGCCTACCTTAGATTTTTGTTGTTGGTGACGTCGCATTCGTAACCAAAATGATATAAAAACAAGATTGGCGACCAATATTGTGCCAACGTAACTCATAACATTTTTTCTATCATTTTACTAACGTAAGTGTGCTAGCTGGGCAGTGACTAAAACTATATAACATATATTTACCCTAATTCCTAGTATTCCTTTAGATATAATCATTTTTTTATTGCATTTTTAAAGTCTACCGTTCAGAATATATAGTACTGCTGATAGAACCAATTTTTTTTTAAATACTCTAGGATTATTACGAACACCCTAGTAGTGGTAACATAAAAACTAGTAAAACCTGCCCTCATCTACGCTGCCTTGTAGGGTTTTCTTATCTAGATAAAAGCAACAAGAAAAAAAAAATCAGGCCTAATAATCTCTTGCCAAAAGGTATTTTAGTTGAGAAATGGTAATAATCCTAGAGTATTTAAAAAAAAATTGGTTCTATCAGCAGTACTATATATTCTGAACGGTAGACTTTAAAAATGCAATAAAAAAATGATTATATCTAAAGGAATACTAGGAATTAGGGTGAATGTATGTTATATAGTTTTAGTCACTGCCCAGCTAGCACACTTACGTTAGTAAAATGATAGAAAAAGTGTTATGAGTTACGTTGGCACAATATTGGTCGCCAATCTTGTTTTCTCGATGAAAAGACTAATTTTGGGAAGATGTTAACTGTATCCAGCTATTGTATTGGAGAAAGCTTCCTAAGTAAAGATTTTAGAGGTAAGCAGAATAATTCTGGTGACACATTTACTCCTCGTTTTCATTTGTTAGGTTGACGGTGATGTACACTTGTGTGATATTATTTTCTAACTAAGATGATGAATGCTTGATCTGCTTGATTCTATTCGTAAATATTTGTTCGTGTCTCCTTAGTGGCCATTCAAATCTCCCTGTTATCTCCTAATGAGGTTCCAGCTCTTAAACTCATTTCAAGGGTACTGAGGAAGGCTGTTAGTAAGTTTTCCCGAGTTCTGTAGAAGATTTCAGAGAGACTACTTTTATCAACAGCTGTAAAATAAAAATAGAAGTTTCCGTGAAGTGCATAGATTATTCCTGTTAGTATTTTAGGTGTGGATTTTTGATTTTTAAGGAGATCGAAGTTACGACTTTAAGTTAACTAGTAGGACTATGCTTGTAGCAGGGGTGTAATTTGGGTGTAATTTATAATTTATTTAAGATTAAGTCAAGTTCACTTAAACCTAAAGAATTCCAATGTACCCCATAAACCACCAATTAAATAATTCAATATATCTTGTACAATTATTCGTGGTATTTGAAGTAACTTCCCATCGGTAAAGTCTAAAATCCTGCTGTTGTGTTTTCTATTTTTTGTTATTGAACTGTTTGTTTTATATATGCGTCTATTTTTTTGTATCTTTAGATTAGTACAATTATTGTTAAATAAAGCCTTAATCAAGAGGTCAATCTTTTTATTAGTTCATTACAATTTATTTAACAAACATATAAAATTATTGGGAAATGTCAAAGATCTTAAAACCGACGAGGCTTGATCTTGATCATAATGCACCAACTGCTTCAAAAGAATGGAAGCATTGGAAACGAACATTTGAAAATTTCATTGAAGATTGTGGAGAGGATGCTCCAGACAAATTTCGCTCTATCATTAATTTTGTTTCATCAAATGTTTATGATTACATTGAAGAGTGTGATTCTTATGAAAGTGTAATTGAAACCCTAGAAAACTTATATATAAAAACCCCTAATGAAATTTTTGCAAGGCATCAATTACTTGCAAGGCATCAAACATCGAGTGAATCCTTAGAAGACTTTCTTCAGGAACTACGTAAACTCAGTAAAAACTGTAATTACAAGGATGTTTCAGCTGAGCAATATCGAGAGGAACAAATAAGAGATGCTTTTATTTCTGGAATAAATTCGAATTGCATTCATCAACGACTTCTTGAAAATTCAACATTGAATTTGCAATCAGCATTTAACCAAGCTCGTTCTCTTGACATTGCACAAAGAAACTCAGATTCTTATATGCAGAAAACATCCTCCTTTTCCTCCAATTTAAATATTGCTGCCGCTATAAAATTACCAGAAGAACCCTCAGCAGCACTCAATGCTATGACTATTAATCCTCAAACAAAATGCATTTATTGTGGTAATCCATCTCACAACCAACGTAATCAAACCTCTGCTAGGAAAAATTGTCCAGCTCAAAATGTAACCTGTTTTAAATGTGGAAAAAAAGGTCATTTTTCCAAAGTTTGTCTTGGCACACCGATGAATATAACCCACAGTGTTTCAGCTGCAATACATAAACCAAGTTTGTGTACTGTTTCAAGTGGTTGTCCGTTGAGTCTCTCTCATGCAGCTGTTATTGTCAGAATTAATGATGAACCGTTAACTGCACTGATCGATTCCTGTAGCTCAGATAATTTTATAAGCAAGAAAATTATCGAGACTTTAAAAATTAAAACGTTACCCAGTAAAAAGAAAATTTTGATGCCCCTCACAACAATAGAGTCTGGATTAGTGGGCTGTTGTTCGGTTAATCTTGAAGTAAATGGTTTATTTTATAATAATGTTCAATTTGGAAAGTCTTAGAAAATCTTTGTAGTGATATCATACTTGGTTATGACTTCCAAAAACTACACAAAAATTTAATATTCCCACTCGGTGGAGAAAAAGAAGAAGCTTTATTGAAAGTGAAATACAACAGTTATTATCAGATGGTATAATTGAGCCATGTTTCTCACCATGGAGAGCCCAGGTAGTGGTCGTAAAGGATCTTACAAAATCTAACAAAAAAAGACTTTGTATTGATTACTCTCAAACAGTTAACCTTTACACTGAGTTAGATGCATACCCTCTTCCCAGAATAGAAAAGGTCTATGGACAAGTTTGTTGAAGAAGAAAAGTTACATGACACTTTTCCATATCTTGACAATATAACCATTGGTGGTTATGATCATGCACATCATGATAAAAATTGTCTGCGGTTTCAAGACGCTTCACAACGTTGGGGTCTAACTTTAAATGAATCAAAATCGGTTATTTCAGCTTCTTCTATAAACATTCTTGGTTATTGCGTTAGTCATAACAACATAAAACCAGATTCTGAGCGATTACATCCTTTAGACTTACTACCTCCTCCTTCTAACATTTTATCACTTCGGCGAACTTTTGGTATGTTTTCATACTATTCAAAGTGGATACCTTCGTTTGCTAATAAAGTTCGGCCTTTAATTAATGTTAAATCCTTTCCTATCAATAGTGAGGCACTTGAAGCATTTCAATTTCTTAAAAGAGAACTTCATGCTGCCACTTTGAGTTCTATTGATGAGAGCTTACCTTTTGTTGTTGAATGTGATGCATCAGTTGTAGCCGTATCAGCTACTTTGAATCAAAATGGTCGTCCCGTTGCCTTTATGTCTCGCACATTAGGCAAAAGTGAAATCAATTACCCATCAGTAGAAAAAGAAGCTGTGGCTATTATTGAAGCCGTTCGAAAATGGCGACATTTACTGTTACGGAATCAATTTAAATTAATTACTGATCAGCGTTCTGTAGCTTTTATGTTTGATAACCGAAAGAAAACAAAGATTAAAAATAGTAAGATTCAGTGCTGGAGGATGGAGTTAGCAGAGTTTATTTATACTATATTGTATTGTCCTGGAAGCGATAATATCGTCCCTGATGCACTCACACGTGCTTTTTGTGCTACAACCCAATTTCAAACAAACCTAAGTGGTATACATAGCTGTCTATGTCACCCAGGGGTTACTCGTATGCTTCACTTTGTTAAATCTAAAAATTTACCTTTTTCTACAGAAGAGGTCAAGAGATTTTGTTCTAACTGCCAGATTTGTTCAGAATTAAAACCAAAGTTTTATCGATCCTCAAATGTCTATGAGTTAATCAAGTCAATACATCCAATGGATCGCCTAAGTATAGATTTTAAAGGACCATTACCATCTAATTCTAGAAATAAATATCTGTTTACAGTCATTGATGAATATTCTCGGTATCCATTTGCTTTCCACGTCCTGATATTAGTTCAACAACTGTTGTGAAGTGTTTAGATCAAATATTCTCCTTTTGTGGTTTTCCAACGTACATTCATTCCGACAGAGGCTCATTTTTCATATCTAATGAACTAAAATCTTACCTTACTCAGAAAGAAATTGCAACTAGTAATTCTACCCCATATCATCCTATCAGTAATGGACAAGTTGAGAGATATAATGGCTTGATCTGGAAAAATATTTGTTTGGCACTAAAAACCCACAACCTAGATGTTAGAAATTGGGAAATTGTTCTTTCAGACGCTCTCCACTCACTCCGTTCGCTACTTTCAACTGCAACTAATTGTACACCCCATGAGAGGTTATTCAGTTTTCCTAGGCGCTCGTCATCCGGAACTTCGTTACCCTCATGGTTAACTCCTGGCCCAATTTTTCTAAGACGTTTTGTGCGTACAAACAAGAACGATAATCTCGTGGATAAGGTTGAATTAGTGGATGTAAATCCAACATATGCTAATATTCGTTACCCTGATGGACGAGAGTCAACTGTTTCACTTCAAGATCTTGCACCGTATCCTGCCCCAAAAGAAAAGTTTAATGATATCAATGAGGATAGTATCAATGAGTCTAGTGAGAATGTAACTGCAAAAGTACTTGATGTAAATAAAGACCCCTCACCTGAAATTGCATCGGAAATCAGAGTTAGAATAGATGAGCCAGTAACTGAGCCGTTTGCTGATGTATTACGACGTTCTGCCAGATCTTGTAAAGCTCCTGTAAAATATGATGACTATATTTTAAAATGACAAAACTAGTTTATGGGCCTTTTTCTACATAGATGGGAAGATTGTTGTGTTTTCTATTTTTTGTTATTGAAGTATTTGTTTTATATATGTGTCTATTTTCTTGTATCTTTAGATTAGTACAATTATTGTTTAATAAAGCCTTAATCAAGAGGTCAATCTTTTTATTAGTTCATTACACCTGCATAGTTCGCAAATTTTAAGATTCTTTCATTTGTTTCCACTTAGCACTTCTCTAATCAATCACTTTTCTATTTGTTATTTATTGCTCTTCAAAAATAAGTATTAAATGTAGTTAAATCTGCTCTTTCTATAACCTTTGAGCCAATCTCCCATTAGTTAAATACAACCATGGTTGCTACTCTAATCATCTCTTGCTACATCAATCAAAACTCATTTTTTCTTGCTATTCAACAAAGTCACATTCTTTCACTGCATCTTTCACTTTTTTAAAATTTTTATTGATCTAGTTTTTTTACACTCAATACTTTGAAACTCCAATTTTCATGTTTCTCTTACTCATACAAACTTCAAACTATTAAGTTTTATGTAAATCGGTTCCTTGCTCTTCAACACTATTCTTTGTTTTCTAGAAACTCTCAATTTAATAGTGGTTGATCGTAGCCTTATTAGTTAATAGTGGTTGTTTGAAGTCCATTTAATAGTTAATTAGTTAAAAATAAGTTGATTTTTTCTTGACAGTAAGTTAAAGTTTTCTAGTTAATTACACATTGTTACAAACATTGATTTTAAGTTATTATGATTGTATAACAAAGTCATCAGCATATATTGTTGAAGACACTAAAGATAACGCTCTATACACATTTATGATATATATTAGAAACACAAAAACAGCCTCAAGATTGAACTCGTGGTCTTTAAATTTTATCAATAAGTATTCCCAGTACCTTCTCACTTATTTTAAAAAATTGAAATAGTTTGTTTTCAAGTTCAATTTTTTGAAAATCAGCGGCGGAGAATGCTCGTTCAGGCTTTACACTTGTTGGCTGTATAGATAGTATGTAGTCATATGTTTTTTAAAGGTGATTACCTTTTATTATAAAGATAATAATTCTTTTTTAATTCGGTAACTCAAATCATCATAAAATTATTATTTGGTTTCATATTATTGTGGTTTTATTTTTGCCGACATGAACTCTAATGCTTTGACAGCGGAAATTAAAATTGCGTCTCGTTGACAAACAGTTTCCGCAGTTGCCTTAACAGGAGTCAAAAGTGCTTGTAAATCAGATGTTTTTCTGTATTTATCTTTGTTTATCTTAACTGAATCATTGATTTTGAAATCAAATTTTAATCTAGAAATGTCTTTTTAACACAATGAATTTTTGGGTGTTTTTTTTTCGAAATGGCATAATATCGATATTGATCTCATCTTCACCACTTTTGATTAATGATTAGTAACTTCCAGTAAGTTAATGTATTTTTAAATCTATATTTTTTATAAAAGTTACTTGATAAATCGAAAAAACACATTCAATCATCATTCGATGATTGAATGTGTTTTTTCATCAAGTCGAAACATTTTCTTTGTCCCTTCTAGGTTTAAATGTCAGGAGATTACTGTATTAATTTTATCAGGAGTTTATTGTATTTTTTTCAAAGCTTCTTTCATTGATTTATGTGCTGTTTGCACATAAGCATTATACAGCTCACAACTGATTTTTTTTTTTTTTTTTTTTTTTTTTTTTTTTTTTTTTATGTTGATTTAGGTGCCCCAAGAAGTCCTTACGGCCTTATCACAGAGCACCGCGGAAGAGCATTTAATAGGAAGTTCACGCCTCCTTCCCAACCGATGCCGCAAAACTTGTCCAGAGGTGGGGTTTGAACCACGGATCTTACGTTTCTGAAACAAGTGCGCTACCACTGCGCCTCGGCTGCTATAGGTAGGTGTTTACATTGTAAGTTGTAGGCTGTTTGTAGGTAGGTGTTTGTATTGTTGTTTGTAGATAGGTGTTTGTATAAGTTGTAGGTAGGTGTTTACATTGTAAGTTGTAGGCTGCTTTAGGTAGGTGTTTACATGCTGATATTTCGTTATAAGTTGTCTTAAATACTGGTGCTGACATATTCATGCAAAATCAAAACTTTTTTTTCATTAAAACCTTGACCGGTCTTATAATTACAACAACCGTTCACATATTGGTTTTAAAACTAATACTGCGTAGGCTCTAATTTACTTCACTTTCTTGAACATTAAAATTTTTTTCCAATTACAATCTGTGTAAAAAATAATCAAAAACTGGGTAAATTTTTTTTGAACCAAAACACCTAATGTCTACAACTTAAACACAACGTGGGCATCTTCTAACCATATTAAACATCTTTTAACTTTATTCACAAGGGAAAAAAAGATCACTGTCTATAAAAATGTTTGCAAATAGAAATGACATTTGATTTTTTTATAGCAATTATCAATTAAATATAGTGTACTCTAAATTAGAAAAAGCATATGATAAATTGTCGACTCATTCCTAAAACAAGATCAAATTGCATACAAGGTCGACAAATTGCATGTATTGAAGCGTGGCTCAGAAAAAGGAAGCAAAGAGTTGTATAAGAGGATCTAATACCATACAGAAAGACTTAGCTTGTTGTTTACCTCATAATTCTGTTCTAAGCTCACTTTTAATTTATTATAATGCCAATGATTTATTGAGCTGGATACATCACACTATATAAATCTATGCTGACGGTAGCAATATAATTAAAGTAATTAAAATCCTATAGTATAAAAAAGCCATATAAAATAAAACTCATTGTTTACTCATTTATTTTGCAAAATTTACAAATTGCTTTGAACGTTTATTTTCATCTATATCAAATTAGTCTTAGTGGCCTCGCTCTATGTTGATTTACTTTTTATTTAATTTTATTTCTAAGTTTAACTCCAAGACTGTACTTCATGCATCAAACTTTTAAGAATTCAGGTATTAATAGATTTTTACTCTAAGACATGCATAATTTAGAATAGAGCACAGCAAAAAGGTGTTCCAGAAATAGCTCATTTTTTCCTTATTGAAGACCACTGAGGCTATTAATAACCCAAAAAACAAAATCAGTATTCTAAAAACGATTTCTGTAAAATTTGAAAAATTGAAATCTTTTGCAAATGAATGTTGTTTTGTTGTCAATATTATTTAATTTCTTGGGACTTTTCTCGTTTTTTTGTTATTTTAAACATTTATTGTTGAATAGTAAGTTGAATAATATTATTATTAGTGTAATGCCTGCTTTTATTTTTACGAGTTTTGAGTATTTGTAACAGGCTTGGGTACGCTTATTTAAAATATTTTAAAAAACTCATAATTATACTTAAGTTTACAAAACCGTGTGCATTATTGTAAGCCTTGTGGCCAAAAAAACAGCAATCTATACTTATATATATATATAAATATTATTGTTTTGCAACGCAATAACTTTATTAAATGGTTTTCATGTATCAAAAAAATACCAACAAAATTTCAGTATTCTGCTCATAAACGTGCCTGATTTAAAGTAGCACTCAACAAAGTGCTTATCATATGCTTAATTTTTAAACATAACCTGAGCCTTATATGTTTTTAAACGTATAATTCTGTTTTAAAAAACATGTCACATTCCAATTTAAGTCATCTTCAGTCAATTAATAAGTTCAGTTTTATGGCTAACATTAGTTGTCTTTTTAGAATAGGTGCAAATAAAGGAAAAAAGTGGAAGACTTACGCTAATACCAGTAAGCTACTGTTTCCTGAAAAATATTTCATCAACGAACTGTCATGGGCGGCTGATTGATAGATTATTTTAACTAGCATTCAGCATTCGTAAGCTTTAACTATACAATTTTATAAATAAATACTGATGACTATTCAAACTTCTCTACGGTTTGAATCTACCAAGTCTGTTGTATTTTGTTCTCAAAAGTTTCAAGGCAAAAATTTTAGCTGCAAGAGTTAAACATTTAAAGATCCGCACTATGTACTACTTCTCTTTTAATGGATGTAAAGAACAAGATTCAACACATCATTCAATGATATTGACAACACAAATGACATCAATATTAGAGTATTCTATGCTGAACGCCTCAAGAGAGTTGACCAGACAGATGCGATCTTGAATATACGAAAGTATTACAACCTTATGATCAGGTCTTTGCTAGATGCTGTGACATCACTGGTTCCAACACTATAACACTGAAGTATCTTTTTGGAGTTTTTACCATTTTTAAAACCTTCCCTGTTCTGGTTTATCTGCAGGCAACTCATGTTAAAGGTACACATTTCTCATTTAGTGGAGGATCTTACTGATCAGAAAATAAAATGGCACAGGAAATATAATAATAAAATGGAGCGCATCAGGTTTGATTAGAATGAGTTACAGGTAGAGTTATTTTTAAAGTTGTTAAACAACATTAAAAAAGCGGCCCTGAAGTTCCTCAAAAATTAACATTTTTTTTTTGATGATGTGGGGGAGGGAAGGGGAAGGGAAGAATGGGAGGGGAAAGCAGAAGTACATTTTAGAGTTTTTTAAAAATATTATTTATATTATTAATAGTTCATTCTAAAGGTGTTTGATAAATGTTTTATTCCTGTTTGCCTATAGAATGACTGAGAATGTATCCAAGGTGATGAATCAGGAAAAGAAAAAGATGATAAAAATGGCATATTTAAATTTTTCTTAGCAGTTTCATGTGGGGAAACCAAAGCTACCAGTTATTAGCAGGTCAACGGAGCTTACTAAGCGGGTTTTCAATAGGTTGTGATTCATGCTTATAGGAGCATACTGAGCTGGTAGGTGTTTACTGAGCTGGTAGGATAATTAAAATTTATGATGGATAGTTAAAATGCCGGATAAAGCGAAATGGTTGGTAGACATTTTACATTATTAAAGGTTTCAGAAGCTAAATGAATATGTCAATAACTGCGCAGAAAAAATTATCCTATTTATCCAGAACTTTGTTAAGGATTAAACTTTGCTGATTACTGATTGGAAACTCATACTGATCGTTA